GGGGATGACCTCTGAACCCATTGTTTTCAGGACCAGCTCTATGGTAGTGGGTGGAAACAGTGAATCTGTTTGCCACAGCTCTAGACTCTGCTGCTGTGGGCTGGGCTCGGCCCTCCCCCATCCTCCCCCATCCTCTCCCATAACGGGCTATGGAGACTGTGACGTGAGCGGCCAGGACTCCAAATAAGCACCTGTCCCTTTACGTCACGCCTCCTCCCCATATGAAGAGCATGTGATGGTTTTCCAAACAGGTCAGTACCCGTGGTCAGTGGAGCGGGTCTATAAACCCCCCCACCCTGGTCCTACTCTTCATTCAACTGCATTTGAGACCAGGACAGACCGATCACTGGAGCTTCACTGTGAAGAATGGAGGTGAGTCTGATTGACCAATCAAATCAACCTGTTTTTAAAACAGCTACATGGAGTATTTGTACTGCAGTACAGTCATCTATAAACACGGAGCATCAGTTCAATGATCTCTGATCATGTGATTTCTCTGACTCAGCGTTAACCAATCAGAGATAACCCCAGTTGTGTGCGGTTGTTGTTTTCTGCTGCAGACTTCCGGCTGTTCTCTGGTTAACAACAACCACACAGCTACACTGTGGACCAGTCTGAACCACCAGAGACAACAGAGCCACTTCTGTGACTGTGTCCTCAGACTGGGACACAGCCCTGCTCAGCTGTACCCTGTCCACAGGTGAGGGTCCTCTGGACTAGACACTACACACACACACACACACACACCAACAATAGTACTAGTATTTGAAGTACTTTTAGCCTGTTTGGCTAAATCCCCTCCTAAGGTTAGGGTGATTCTGGAGAACACGTTCTCATCTGTTTTTATCTGTAACTAATCCAATGAGGGGACCGGTTCTATCAGGACGGAAGACTTGTTTCCTGACCACAGGGTGGCAGTCTAACCTGTGAAATTTCCTAGAACTGGCTAAAAACCACTGTAGAATTTATGTGGTCAACCAGTCTCTAACCGATGCTGGTCAGGGTCGGTCCATGCAGCCAGAAGTTTCTGGTCTTTTGTCTTTTATGTGGTCCATATTCAGTATTCCTGACGTGTACTTATTGTGTGTAAATATTTGCATGTTTGTCTATTGATTTATTTCACTCTGAGCTGAAGCTGACCTTTGCCCTCTGCAGGTGCGTCCTGGCAGCCTGTAGTCCGGTCCTGGCCTGGATCCTGTCCTCCTCCAGTGTCCTGGTGGACCTGCAGGCTCTCTTCCTTCCTGCCTCGGTGCTGGTCCTTGTCATAGACTACATTTATACTGGGACACTGTCGTACAGTCAAACCAGGGAACACTACTACAGTCTGCTCGCTGCCGCCCACTACCTGCAGATGACTGAGCTGCAGGAGGCTCTCAGGACGTGGCAGGAAGCTAACGATGTGAACGTTAACAGTCAAAGTGAGACCGACTTCAGTCCTGAGAGTGTGAAGAGAACAGAGAGGTTTTCTGACGGGGAGGGCGGCGGACCTTCAGGAACTGTGGACTCCTGGGTCGGAGGTCGAGAACACAATGAACCTGGTGTTGTTCATCAAACATCCACCAGGGACACTGAGCTGCTGATGGATCTCCCCCATCCATCTGGTGCAGTAACACCACCATGGAGGCAGAGGAGCACTGATGAGGAGCTCAACAACAGGAGTCACTCTCTGACTCCACCTTCATCACCTCCTCACTACAGAGGAGCAGTGACGGTCATCCGCCACAGCGGTGGACCACAGCACGCAGAACCAGGACTAGAACAGAATGTTCAGGACAGTTCCAGGGACGAACCTTGTTTCTCCAGCAGCACCAAAGGACACTGTGCTGGAGACGGGACGGACCTGGACCAACAGCTGAGTGGATGTGATGATGACATGGTCCACAACCCTGCAGCTCCAGAATCATCAGGTTTGGTCAATGCCACTCACACAGCCGTGTACCAGAGGTTTGATGTCAAGAGGGCGGACACAGAGACACGTCAACACCCTGACCACAGAGGAGTGGACCGGTCCTACTTTGGATATGTCCATTATCACTGCCTGTCTAAAGAGGACACACACTTCAAACCCAGCTGCATGGTTGACTCCAGTCCGTCCAGTGATGAAGAGCAGACTGGGACCTTCACCGGTTCTGGTTCCACTGCCCATTGGCCAGCGTTGGCTGTGGTACCAAGCAGAGAGGTTCTGATGCTGGACATCGGGACAAGTCAATCTGCTGAGTTGTTCACGTCTCACCAACACAGAAGAAAAGATGTTGGAGAGACAGAAATTCCTCTGGAAGAAAACTGTTCTGGAACCGATGAGAGAAAAGAAAAGTTCAAAGACGGAGCTGTGACATTTGCCAAGGTCAAACAAACATCTGAGAGAGTTCCTGTGGCTGCAGGGTCCAACCAAGGACAGACGACAGTTGGTATCACCTGTGGAGGGGGGAGCTCAGGAGGTGTTTCCCACCCTGACCCCCAGCGAGTCCTGGCTGAAGTACCAGACTCAGGTCCTGTTCCAGACGTTGGGTCTAAAAACCCTCCGTCAGCAGCTCTTCATCTTTTCCAGTGTTCTCTGTGTGAGCGTTCCTTCAGCCAGAGAGGTTCTCTGAACCGACACCTTAGAAGACACCTGGGACTCCGCCCCTTTTCCTGCCCCTGCTGCCCCATGACCTTTTCACGCCAGTACCGTGTGACTGAACACATGCGCGTTCACCAACGCTGCGGCCAGGGGAACCACCTGCTCAAACCGCCCACCTCCTCTGTTTGATATTGATGTATGTGTTAAATGGTCCAGTATGTGTCAGTGACACCTACTGGTGAAAGTTCAGAAAGCTCACGCCTGTCTTTCCTATAGTGGTGGTAATCACTGGTCACTCTCTGGTCACCCTTGTGTTTGTGTAATGTTCCTGACCTGCAGTACTGACAGGCGTGTACTCTGTCCAGTGTGTACAGAGAAAACACAGGTACAACTTAGTATAAAAAGATGTTTATAAAAACATTTGTTTACATGTTTGTTTGTTTTCTGATGTGATTTTTTTTTATTATTGTGGCGTACTGACATCATCAACAACATTAGCTTTACTGGTCACTGTCACTGACCTCTGACACCAGTGACCAGTCTGTCCTCCACATTAACCTGTTCACAGCTAGGCCCAGATTACAACTTGCGACGCTACAGTACAGAAGCGCTCACACTGTGCCACAGGCTGCTCTAACAGGTGTCAGAAATAAACTGCTATAAACAGCGGAAATAAACACATGACCAGTGATCAGATGTGATCACTGGTCATGTGACATCAGTAATAATATTGTTAACTATTTTAATGTAGTTAAAATGTGTTTGTGTTAAAGGAGAACGACCTTCATTAAAACTCACTGTTTTAATAAAGTGGAGTGGAGTGTGAACGCAGCAGAACTCTTCTGTCTTCTCATCACTCGGCTGTGGCTGTGGCTGTGTCTGTGTCTGTGGCTGTGGTCATCACAACGATGGCCTGGACAGAAGACAGAGAAACATGACTTCACTGAACTGATCTGTGTCAGCGTTAAAGACTTGTCACATGACCACAGTCAGTTTGTAAAGTCGATCACAGGTTGGAGGAGACGGTCAGCGGTGAAACCACATCATGTGGAACAGTGCCATGCTGAACAGGTTTCCTTCCAGATCTGTGACCAAGACTGGGTTTTCTACCTGACTCTTTGTGGGCCGCAGAGCAGCACCAGCCAGTGTGGACATCACGATGACGATAACTCCTCCACCAAAGGTGTAGAACAAGAAGACCACCAACAAGACGCCTTCAACCGCCAACCGCTGCCGAAGAAGACAGTGACAGGTGGATGGTATTTTAGTGGGGTTAGCAGACCTGTCCCACACCAGGACGGGCAACGTCCAAACCCCTCCACTGATTTTTACAAACCAAACCATAACAAGATGAAAATCCATCAGTACCTCAGATCGATAAGGAGAATAATCAGTCACTGTGACGTTTTCTTCAACCTCCTGGTCCAGGCTGTCATAGTGGTGGGAGAACATTATTTCAGGCAGGGTATCCAGGATGGTCCACACTGTCCCCAATATGGTCACAATACTGAGAGCCAATGAGATGGTGACCTGCACCAAGACAGAGAAGAAGAAAAACGGAGAAATGGAGAAGATCAGACACACAACCACGTCACCAGAGCAGAACTTCCACTCACCGCCTTCTTTGTTGGATTATGTTCTGTCAAAATGTACAGCATCCCACTCATGATGAACTGAGAAGAGAAGAGAACGAGACCATTTTTCTTCATCATCATCATCATCATCATCATCATGAGTGTTATCAGTATAAATCATGAGCAACAACAACAGTCATTTTTCATTTTATTTCATTGTTCATTGTTTCATTGTTGTTTTTATGCCATAAATAAATGGTTCACAATCTATGGTCAGTGTACCACTGCCGGTACCTTGGTACCCTCTAGTGGTACACAGGAGAATCTGTGTTTGTTTTTTGCACAACATAGTGTTGGGGAAAGGGAGCCAGGGTGACGGTGTCAAAGACCCTGTCATAGTGATTCCATCAAACTACAGGAAGTTCAGACCTGTAGTTGTGTTGACATATTGTTACTCCACCTCCACTCACCAGTATTCCCAGCAGGAAGCCAGGTTGCATAATTAAAAACATGTGGTGACTGTCATTGCTTCTCACAATGACAGTGGAAATGATGAGGAAAGCTGCACCCAGGACCAGAACAACAATCTGAAACAACAACAACAATCAGCTGTACACAGTGACAGACGTCTTTTATCTGCTGTTCCTACGACCGCTCTTACCCCCACAGTCTTGGGCTGCCCTTTCATGAAGCGATGTAGAGGTTTGCTGCCCCCTACAGTGGTGGTCTGCAGAGCTGCTGGTCTTGGTTCAGTGATGGTGCAGAGCTCAGAAGACATGTTATAGACTGATGTGGTCAACACTAAAGAGTTCAACTGCAAAAGACAGGACAACAGGTCTATGACCAGGACCTCTGGCTCACATCAGACACTATTCCCAGAAAAAACAAAAGATCACAAAGGTCAACGTGACCACCATCAGTTAAAATTCAGGACTGTAAATATAACCTCTGCTCTCCTGTTAGAAGATACTGGAATTCAGGCAGCCACCAGGGGGAGACTGTTGGTTGCAAGAAACTTAATTTGGAATAAACGTCTATGAGAAATTAGGCTGGTTTCCCCGCAGTGTCACATTTGAATTCACAGTATTCACAATACTATGGTCTACGTGTATGGCATTCGTGTAGCCTCAGTCACGTTGGTTTTTCTTCATAGTGTTTGATGAGTTCAGTAAAATGTTTTAACCCATCACCAAAGTGAACAGTTGCTATGTTTATGTTGTGGTTTCAGTTCACTCTGATTTAAAGTTAAAACAGCGCCACCTGGAATCGTGTCTATAGTAAAGCTCCGAAGTACAGTAAAGTAAAAACAGCTGGGTTGCAGCCGAATTGTAGGTTTAAATAAGCGGTTTGTATTAACAGATGACTCTTTCTAAACAATAAAGTTAATAAACGAACTGCTAATTAACAGCTAACAGGTCAGTAAAAACACACATTTCTCTTCAAAACAGTTAAAATTAAAGTTTCAGACCTTCAGCAGTCGCGCGGGCGGATCTCTGGCTCCACATCAGCAGCAGCGGTAAAACCACACACGCCCTCCATCTGTAGAAGCTTTTGTTTTAACTTCTCTTCTTCCTAATATTTGTGTACAAAACCACCGAGGCTTTTCTGTTGTTAATATCACCATAAATGCAAACGCTTTTCCATATCAACGTGTTTTCAGAGGAACTATCTAAAAAAACGGCGGAGGGATTTGTTTTTGGTGGTGAGGTCTCCGCTAAACCGAAACAGTGAGTGGTCAGTTCA